GTTTTCGTGACTAATGGAGTAAGTAATTCATACTAAGAAGCCGCCCGCAACAATACAGAAACCTTTGACCATGCACTCAGAGAGAATGTGACATGTGCTACATATAAAGTATGTTACTTAGCGTTGATGATCGCAGCAATCATGTGCCTGAATCTAGTAGTGGTATGAGTCATGGAATATACTTATAGCATCATAGGAGGGGAGTCTACGAAGCCCAAAGGTAGTTATGCCGTTGTAGCATTCCAGGTGTAACAGAAAAGGAACTGGGAGTTCGTAATAATGCACATCATTTTTTCAGAAGTTGATGACAATTGAAAGTGTCCAATAGTATTAGTTGGGTGTTTGAAGCTGCTCTTAGAGAAAGTAAGGGTCCGGTATCCTATATCAGAGGTGTCGTTAGAGAGGGTTCCACTGCAAGTCCCCTGTCTCCATTCCATAACTGTATTACTCACTGTCTCTATTTCCATACCGCAGGGTAGAAGTGGCGGAACCAAGACTAAATCTGCCGATGGAACGGGAACGAGACCGTGGTGCACCCGGACCTCAACGTGACTTATTCATTTGAGCCCTCAAGTATAGTGGCGATCCCAAAACAGACAAAATCATCACACTTAATATTCCTTTTTATGTGAGACGATTTTTTTTAGAATAGTAGAAATGATCTCATTGGTCCATTCATGCTAATGTAGAACAGGCTTACCTCGAGGGGTCCCGCTACTCCGTGTATCTTGAAGGCCACAAAGAAGTCACCAATAAGGGAGTTGATCGACTCAAACATGTATTACTACTGTAGCTAGGCCCGTGTCAGACTTTGCGAGATACTAGCGGTGGATACCACGAGTAAAGGCTTATAGCCCAGCCCATCAAATTAGCAGTGATCGCGCATGCGCCCGTGGGCCGGGGTTTTCACTTTAGTGCTTTTCATTATAATAGGAGGCATTGGAGATACCTTTAAAGCCAATTTTGTGGCTTGTTGCTAGGTTCTTCGCCAGCAAATACAAGGTATCTAGGTGAATAAATGAAGACGCGGCGGGGTCGGTTCTAAACCGGCCGAAGAGGCTAGAAACTTATCGGGAGAAGGAGGGCTTTTAAGGAAACTGCGTGTACGATATCTCTTTGGCTACAACGACCCTGCTGGTCTACATCATCAAGGATATCGAAGCTCCGGCCCGACGTCCTTGGGGACGGGGTCAAGAACTTAAGACTTTGTGCAAAACCATAAAACCCTCTTTCGATTAGAGTATAATTTATTCATGAGTACAGTTGGGACATCAGAAATAAAGCGACACCATGTTTTGGGACCAGGGAATTTTGTATTTATAGAGACGTTACCCTCTCTTGGAGGTATAGATAGATTAGAAGAAAAAGTTGACGTTTTGGACCTCAGGTCGGTTCCTTGATGGAGTGTCTATTGTGTCTGTGTGTCGCGTCCTTTATGGAGGTTTACTGTACAGCACGTTAAATTAATGGCAGGTGTGAGCATTCGCCCTACCACAAAGCTTTCTAGTAATACAACGGGTTGGGCCCCACTTAATGTTCATACATTTTATGCATATGCTGCAGCAAAGGGAGGTTTATTTATAGGTTTATTATGCATTTCTGTCCTGGCCCTGTACTTCTATCTTAGTAACATTTCTAAATTTAGCCCTCCTATGCCGAATCCCATTGGTAAAGACCTTGACTCCCTTGTGCCACAGAACGTGACGAGAGGTGGAATGTGGTAACCAGTGTTACACCGGGAAAGGAACGACGAAATCTCTCACAGATTGGAACAGAATCGAATGGAACGGAAAAAACTTCGAAATCTACAAACATGGGGGAGGGGCACGCCCGCTGCAAAAATGAATCACGGTTTGACGGGGCCGGCTTTATTTTCCCTCCTGGACCGTCAACAAGGGGCATTAAGTGAATGCGTTATATTTTCTGAACTTTACAGGTGGTAATTGGTCCCGGCTTGCTTCTCGTGTGTGTGAATATAAACAGCGATTTGTTTTTTGTCAATAATGATGTAACGTATATACCATTTTCTGTTGGATGGATCTGGACCTAACGTGCCTATTTACCTCTCGCCATCCCTCCTCCCCAGATTGGGTCTCTCGTTAACAGATGTCAAGCTCTCTTACGGCATCAAGCTCTCCCCACTCTACCCGCCCCTCTGCCACCTACCACCTTAACCCGAAGAACCCCGAAAGCTAGTCAGCGCCAACCAAGACCCTCGGTTCTTTAGCCAAGGGGCAAAACCGGTTTTTGTCCATAATCTAACGCGCGGTATTTGAGAGGTGCACCAGTGTTTGCTCGAACCCTCATTTCCTCGATCGCGACAAAGGCTAATTGCATAATGTGTGACCGGGGGAAATGGACCGGTTACGAAGTTGCACGATTCCTTTACCTCGACATTGGCCTATACTGGTGAGTGGGCGTTTCTTTATCAGGGGGTAAACTTTTGGGATTTTTTTAATAACAACTATATTTGTGTCACGTGGTGTTCGGGGGGCGGATTGTGGGTGCATGGTGACAGCACAAAAAAAACGAGGAAACCTTTAATAATGAAAATGAACATGTAATAATAATAATAATGCTCCGTGAATCCATTCCTATTTTAGTAAGAATGTCTGAGGATGGATGAGGATTGATTTTGGGAAAGAAGACGTCTATATATTGGTAGATACGGTATATACAAAAAAGTTGTTGTCCTCAATGCACCCTTTCATACTAGGTGCTTGCACGTATTTGTTTCCATTTCCTTCATTACACGGAATACCGGTAATAACGCGCGTGCCATACCGTGTTTTCAACACCACTGGTATTATACCCTGTATAGTGTCTCACTGTTACGGACATTGCATTACGGTGGGTTTTAACTCGTTTGTATGAGTCTTAGTACGGAACGGTTGTTAGCCCTCCTTCAATGGATTTCTGGGGTTAAAAAAAAACCCTGGTAACAGGGTTTGTCGCTGGTGAAGTGGATGGTGGAAGGGGTGAGTTGATGAGGTGTCTGGGAGGGTGAGACAGACACCGAAGTTCATTGGTGTATTGGTGATGGCCCTAGTGCTATGGCAGCCACCTGAGTATTAGTACTGTGCCTACTGTGTGGGTATTTCCATAACTGGACTGACCTGTGTTAGGTGCTGTAATGCGAGCGGCAAAGAGAATACAGATCAATAATTTGGAGGCTCGTGAGGAACTAGATTTGGTCCGGAGACTAACAGCACCACGCCACGGGTATATAAGCACAAAAATCTGCCAAAACCCGTCCATTGTATGATGTACACGTACGTATATCGTATGGCGAGCGAAATGAGTCTACTTGTCCTCTGAAGTGCACGGTTGGTTTTGTGTATTATGACGATTGTGCCACTTGTGTGTGTGCGTGTTAGCTCTATCTATGGACTGCTTGATGTTGTGTATACATATGTACGTGGGGAGTGTATGAGTGAGTAGCATTCATAGCTATCCAGGGGAACCCCTCTAATCAGACGACCAATGGGACAGAGAAAGGGAAGGGAGAAGAAGAAGAGGGGAAGACAGTGTCCATGTAGCGATGGGATTGTCCGTATTCGGGGTTCGATTTGCACGCAAGACCTGTTCTTGAATTTTAGACGAGGTTGTCCTCATTTTCAGGAATAACCTCGGGAGAGGTTCAACTGTATGTAATGGACACTGTGTTCTGTGAAAAACAAAGCTAATGATGCCGGGTGTTCTGGGCCTCTGAAGAAGGAACTCTCACTGACACAAATCTGGGCCAATGGAGTCAAAGAGAGGTGTGACGTGCCCAATATGGCATGGAGGGTGCAGTTTGGGATGGTGTGGACTGGAGGTAAGTTATTCTCAATACTTTAATACTCGTTCAGGCGAAAGGTGTTACCTATTTATTTTCACTGAAGTAAGTGACTCTCCGCATGAAAAGTGGTCAGGTTATTGGCAGCAAAAGCAAGTCAGCTCTAGTCATCTGAATAAATGTAAATGCTTTGTTATTTTGTAACTCAGTGTTGATTGCCAATAATCGCATTGGCACATGGTTGCTATCATGATTGTCGCTTTCTCGGCAGGGCTGGGATTTGTGACGATGACACTGTGTTCTTGGCGTCTAGTGATACAGCAGTGTATCGGTATCGCCGTGGCAACCAGAGGAGGCATTGCGACTATCTAATCCGATGAGATGGACTCTTTGAACTAACCCAGCTAGTGAATTTGTATCATCTACATAAATTATGTGCACATTATATTGGGGGTACAGTATCGTTGTTATTATAGCACGCTTGTATGACGGAACGGAGTAGCGTTCTAAAGAATAGACGATAAATAAGCCGGCGCTCTGGCGATCGCGGAACTGCAACTAACGATTGCAGCGTGGTACTAGAGCTACGCCTCCCAGCTACTTCTGTTAGACACGCCTTCCACCATCCAGCGCGTCGGTGGTTAGGTCTCCCGGTGCCGTGCCGACGAATGCCTGCCGTCGTCAGGTCTTCCGGCCCGCCCCGCGACAGTGCAAACCGTCTATCCCGGGTGTTCCTCCACACGAGACGCTGGACAGTAGCATCATCACAGTCGGAGTGTACTCTGCTCCAGTGCCGCCTGGTCGTAGAGGGAGACCGCACAGAAAACGTTGTCGCTGCGTGGCCGCAGCGCACCAGCGCACGCGGCAGCTGGCTGTGTGTGGACGCGTGGACCGTCGCCAAGAAGATTTGCAGAGATCTAGTGAAAGTCGCAGCCAAGACGAAAGGACGCCGGCCCACTGCATATGGTCGCACTGCAGAATGGAAAGCCGAGTTCCAAAGCGAAGCACTCGCGGGATCGCCACCGTGGACGCAGCGATCCAGTACGCCGCCTACGACAACGTACGGCACCCCTGGGAACGTAAAAAGAAGCAAACCTACAAAAAACTCGAGCATCGTGAGCGGACATAGCCTCTGCGGAACGCACAACGAACGCTCATGGATCTTTGGGACAAACACGCGAGGTGCAGCTCTCGCAGGAGCTCGCAATGTGTGGCAGAAACGACGACAGAGTCTGCAGTTTTACGCAGACGTCAGGAGAAAAGTGGAGCTGAGGGATTCCAGCAGTTCGAAAGCCCGCCTCACAACCACCTCAACAGTAGCACCAGACACTCTTCCACACCACCAGCACAAGAAATTAAACGAGAAGTTCTGGAGATCCGCCACTACTTAAGCATTGCGGCAAGGAGCACTCGTATCAAGGCCCCGCCTACCCAATCGGCAGCAGCCAGTCGAGAAGAGAAAGAGAGAGAGTGAGGGCGAGAGAGGACGCTCCCAGAAGAGTCACAGGGTACAGAAAGAGCTCTCCAAGGGAACCGTCCATACCCCAAGAGAACCTGCGATACGCCTGGGGCCGGAAAAAGCCGCGAAGACGAGAAAGGAGAAAAACCGACTCAAATCAGGCCAAGGCCGATCAGGCCCGCCCTTAAAACGGACTTGGGCAGCCTTCCCCCCGGTCGCTACGTGGAGCCAAGACGGTAAACTAGTACCAGCAGAGGCACCCGACACTAACCACTAACCCTTCGTTCAACAATCAGGGTGGTGCTTCGCGAAACGAGTCTGAAAACGTCAATCCGCGTTTCTCGACTCAGACAAAACGTCGGGATTCGCCGCGCAAGGTCCACATTCTGGGCCAAGGAAAAGGTTCAAACACCTCAGAAAGTTTGCACGCTGGTACTAGAAACCTGTTCTCCTGTTCGACCCAAAGTCGAATTCAGAGAACGAGAAAGACTAAACTAGCTCTAAATTTTGGTTAGAGGTTAGTTTTCCTGCTTTGGGTGTCGAGAAAAGACCAGAGGAGACAGAGGAAAAGGAAGAGAGTTAAACGATTTTCGACAGCATTCAGCAAGACAGTGACCCTGAATCCGTCGAGCCCGATAACTGGAAAGTTTGGCTTGAACAGCAGAACTCACAGTGTGCTCGGCGATTCTGTCATCCGCCTCCCTACTAGATCCACTGATGGTGCCGATGATCCAGACCACCGACCACATGCGAGACGAAGCAGCTGTTGGAATCCGACAGGCGTGGTGCGACAGAAGTCCGGTCACGCGACTCGCGAGGGACACCGTTCCTAGCGAGAAGGTCCTACAGGCGAAGGAAGAGTCACGGGACGGGTCTTCACGCACACGTATGTAAGCCATATACACACTCACAATAACAGGTATTCACTAAGAAAGATGACTAAATCACGTATTTTCTAAGTGAAATCTCAATACATTCAGTAGTCTAAATAACTAGCACCAGAGGTAATAAAACAGAAAATGGCCCTGATGTTGGCTATCTCTAGGCAACCGACATGTATGAAGCTAGCTACTGGGGATGTATCAGCCTATACAATCCGATAAAATGTGCAAGCAGGGTTACATACATGTCGTTTGCCTAGGATATCAAAAGGATGTGCAACAAGATCTGGTGCAGTACCCAGACAGGACAGCATCGCCCTTACAGGGCTCATGCTGTCCTGTCTGGGCACTGCAACATAATTATACATACATGTACTGTATGTTCTAGTGGGAGAATGACTGTAAGCTGTTTGCGTTGCCTATTGCTGCCATTTCACACGATTCTAATTGATGCCTCTTGAAAAGTCACTCGGAGATTGCCAATTCTGCATGAGGCCGACAAGAGTTAGTCCGTCTTCATGGTTTACAGTTTTATATTGTTCTCTTATACTTCTAGTGTACTGTGCATTGAACTAATACTTCCTTCTGTTTTTCGTGACCTTTGTTTAGTAAACCCTGGTTTGTATGAAGAAGAACCTTCCTTTACAATATTTCTTCTCTCTTGCAATCTTTCCTGCCCCCTGATCCTCAGCCAACACCAGTAACGATCTTGCTATAGCCAGACAGATCCAGGAGGACCTATATCAACTCGAGGACGAGGAGCCACCATCTTCTGGAGCCATCGGAACGGGTCTGCCGCCGACTGCCGCCACCGCAGCCATGTCCAAGAGCAATTTTGAGAGTCTGCGGTTCCTCGACGACGACCCAAACTACTATGGGAAGGGTTACGACATAGGCAGAGGTGAGATAAGACACTATTGAATCAATCATTACAGGGATCTCCTCTCTGGGTTAGAGCAATACCATACACAACACAGCTAACTGCTCTGTTCCCCGATAGGAAAAAAAAACCTTGCTGTGTGTTTTGGAGGCGAAGTAAGTAAGAGAATCGTTGGATTATGGTTCAGGGGGGCCCTTGGAATGTAAACTTAGCACAACTGAGGCTATTCATATGCTATAGATAGCAGAAATGATGTCATTGAACTATGCATATTCATCCTTACTACTGTGTCATGTTTATATATTCATAGAATTCCATGACCTTTTCCTTCTGCCTATGTATATGTATTGATATCCAAACATAGAATACATGGTAACTGAGCACAATTCAATCTCCGAAGAACAGAAAGAAAGGAATAGAAACATTCCCCGCAAGAGCGTCAGGAAAAACAACTACTCCGGACGCTGGAGCGACGAATATCGGTACCGGGATTTCGACAAACGAGGACACCGGAATCTGCATGCGGAGAAGTATCAGCCGCATGAGAGAAAGACGTGGGCAGTGGGCGGGACCGGGATTGTGACGGCCTGCGTGCGAGGCATGCAGAGAAGTGACACTCTTTTGGAGAGGGAAGAACTCGACTTGGCATTTGAGGTAAGTTCTTTCGAGTTGTATAATTATACTCCTGGGTGGGACTTGAACCCACGGCACTAGAGTTCATGGGATCCTTATCACATTAATCGGCGATGATTGAGGATCATTTTGATATCACTTTGTGTGGATTGCTTACAGAACCACCGAGAAATTAGGCAAAGAGAGAAAGTGACAATTCTATGTACTCTCTTAGCACTTGGTGCATTACTTGGCAGCTCAGCAGACTAGCAGAGCCTACAGCACAACATAATACAAAGGCAAACCCCCATCAGTGACTGTGAATGGTCTTGTTGTATATACATTTGGTTACCACAGGACAGTTTTACAAGGGAAAGAACCTGGGATAGTCCCCTACCTCCATAATTTAATAATTATGAATTGTATTAAACCATGGGATGTATTCTTCACAAATTTCTACACTCCCCCAACAATTGCATTTGAGGAAACTGCGTGTTTCCTGAGCCAATCATACCCAATACGTTTCTGCAACTTTTGTTGAATATACTCTCTCTGAGAAGATGCTCCACGCTGGAGCCTATGAAAGAGTTTTCCCTGTCTTTGGTTGAGGCCAACTTGTGTCAGTGAGCTCATGTGAAGCAGCCAACTTGTCTCGTGTTGCCCTTTACGTGGTCCTCTCATTATATTGGTAATGTGTATGTGTATACCGTGTGTATTGTGCATGACAGGGTCGCCAGGAGCTGGAGGAGATAGAGAGTAGCATTGATTCCCAGCTCATTGAGAGAATGAGTCACCAGTACGAGTACAAGGAGAAACACAGGCCAAAAGACCCCTCGGTCAAGCCCGTCACTGAGTGAGTGTCTATGTAGTATCTCACAGTATTGAACACTTCATTCAACCTATAGAACACGATGAGTGTATATCTAGTATCCACAGTATGAACACTTCAGTAACCTAGAAACATGAGTGAGTGTATAGTAGTAGTCACAGTATTGACACTTCATTCAACCAGAACATGATGAGTGTATATGTAGTATCTCACATTATTGAACACTTCGTTCAACCTAGAACACGATTATACAGTAACACTAAAGCTAGTAATAGCTGAAGGGTAAGGGGTCAAATTGGAGATGAGTGTATATGTAGTATCTCACAGTATTGAACACTTCGTTCAACCTAGAACATTGATGAGTGTATATATAGTATCTCACAGTATTGAACACTTCATTCAACCTAGAACATTGAGTGAGTGTATAGTAGTATCCACAGTATTGAACCTTCATTCAACCTAGAACATTGAGTGAGTGTATATGTAGTATCTCACAGTATTGAACACTTCATTCAACCTAGAACATTGAGTGAGTGTATATGTAGTATCTCACTAGTAGGTGTAGTACTACTGATGGGTAATGTAGTACACATTGAGTGAGTGTATATGTAGTATCTCACATCATTGAACACTTCATAACACAATTATACAGTAACACTAAAGCTGTAGTAATTCTGAAGGGTAAGGGGTCAAAATTGGAGAAGGGGGGGTGCAAATGCGAAAGTAGAAGCCACCCATCTCAAACAGGGGGGAACTGCACTACTCCATGCCTCCCCTTATTCTTACCGGTCGCTTGACAACCTTCTCGCTGCCTGGTGTTCTATGAGTTCGTTTCATTTTGTTGTTATCCAGGTGTGCAGTATGCTTGGATTCCTTCCACGTAGGAGACCCGCTAAGGTATGTTGTCGGTATTACAAGAATTGATCACTTTTGCTGACGAAACGTAACGGGAATACCTGCCAAAACAACAAAGATTAGCAAGAAGTTTATTTTCCCAGCGGAAGTTGTGAAAAGTGACCTCTATTGTTTTCCCACGTAATGTACCTACCTCCAGCAAGACCTATAAATAGAGCACTTTCGATGTCCCAGCACTTTATTTTCCCCTACTTTATTTTACAATAGTTTTGCCACATAAATCTCCACTAAGAGATGCAATAAAGAACGCTTTCGATATCCCAAGGTGTTCCTTATTGGTAGATGTTACTGTCTGAAATCTCTCTGTCTGCTGCCAGGTTGATGCCGTGCTCTCACACCTTCCACCGGGTCTGTGTGGACAAGTGGCTGGAGGGGAACGTGAACTGCCCGGTTTGCAAGGCCGACTATCACCTACTGGCTGGGAAACTGGGGCTGGACGTCGATCTCAAGAAATACAGAAGGCGCTACTGGTAGGATGGCCGAGTTTTGACTCTTAACGCTTGATTCAGAGCTTCACACTTTGATTTTTGGACACACATATCATGTGCATAATTTTGGTTATTATTGCTCAGGCTGCCCACAAGGACAATGTTTATGATGGTCATAATTATTATATACTCGTAATGCTGCTCACCATAATAAAATCTTTCTATACATTGCTCTGTTACATATTTATCGCTAATGTTAACGTTCTGATGTTGTCTTAGTGTCTTTCTCAGCATCACGTATAGTGGTCCATATCTTACACAGTTTTCGATGGTTGCCCACCGTCCATGCTAGCGTCTGACATTCCACTCCACAATAGAGGGCCTGTGCGTGTGTGTATATGCATATATAGTGCGTGCGAGAATGAATTAGGGGGCCGAAACACAAGGCAAGTGGGTGTAGAACACTTCGAAAAAGAGGTGGGATTCAAACTCTCTCTCTCTCGAGCATGGGATCTAAACACAGGGCAAGTGGGTGTAGATGAAAATGAGGAGAACACATTTTGGGAAAGAGCTGCCCCAGGTGGAATTATTGGAACGTGATGGCTCTTACTTGTTTGCATCGAGAACACTTCTTCACGGATGTGATGAGATCTCCACATACGCTGCAACTCTCTAGAGCTTCCTCAGACTCACTGCAAGTAGTCAATAATGGTCAGCATGCAGTAAAAACACGGGGGCTTTTTACTTCAAGTCACACTTGAAGCCTAGCAAACAAAAGACCAAGGTTTTGCATAACCATAAAATACACCTCTTTATATGGAAACATGGAGTATAGATTGGTCGTGCTGGCCGGTAAAGTGTGCTACATTAGGAATATATACCTCCTTTTCCCAAACACCATCTGTTGGAAGAGTGATACCGCAGAAGGAGGCCCACCCTGTCATCATGAGTGCATGTGAGATTAAAGCAGACCATGCAATCTGGGTTAAAACAGTACCTAATAGGATTGAAACAAGCGTAATATAAAAGGAAGCTACATGTTTTGTGGCCTAGAGTTAGAGCTAAGTTCCACTGTAAACGATCTATTAATAATGCTGCCTGCAAAGCGTCACGTAATTGTAAGGAAACAGGTGTGTGTTCTGTAGTCATTTCCAAGTTCCAATCAATTGGTAAGAAGATTGACTGACAGGTGGTGTTTTGGCGAGTGTAGCAACCATCTCTCTCAGTAGCTGACTGCGTAGGTTCGGATACTCCTGGAGACACTGTCGCAGGAATCGATCTAGTGACTCAGCAACTCCATCTTCTCTGCAGTGGAGGAGTCTGGGTCCAGGAAGAAATAGAGAGAGAGGGTGGATGACTGGAAGGAAGGTTTTGTATATTGTGGAACCTCTCTAATCCAAAGAAGTGTTAGTGAGGTGTCCTTATTTTCTTGATCTCATGGAACTATTCTTGGAGGTATAGAGGTGTCCTTAAAGGGGGGTTCATTCATAACTGGAGAGTAAATTCCGAACGAGGGGTTATCCATACAAAATAATTCTCAAAAACAAAGCAACTGTATAGTGGAAACCTTTTGACAGTGAAAACTTGCGGTTAGGGACATTTGTATTGTAGGACCTTTTTCCATGTAACAAAGTATCTACTGAATCGAATTTTTCAGTAAGAGTTGGAAAAAAAAGCCACAACTCCCTGCTTCTCCTATATAATGTATTCCTACGATTAGTATGTACTAACAACTTCAGTAGTGCATCGACCCCATTCTTTGCACATCTCTCCACCACAAAACTGAGGCAGTGCATCTTGAGAGCCTGAGGCTCCTTCTCCTCCTTCTCCATCTTCTCCCTCAGCAGCTGGAGGACTCGGCAGACACTAGACTGGGCTGCCAGGAGCTGAGGACAGGATGACCGGAGGCTCAGTGTGACCTGAGTGGTTCAGAGAGAAAGGAAAAAGACATTATATGTTTTTTAAATTTATTTCAAGGGATTAGCTTTTTGACTTTGTTGCAGAGCTTTTGAATCCAAGAGAAGGGTTTTTAACCCTTTACACTGGTTCGCTCTTTTACCTTATCCTCCATTACAAACTAGCCACAGTGAAACCCCCTGAAACTGAAGGATCCTCGGAATAATTTTTTGGGTTCTTTCTCGTACTACATTACATCCGAAAAGTGGTGCTTATTGATGCCACCAAAGTGTCACCGTAAGCCACAAAACAGCAAACGTAAATTTTAACCTTCACGGGGTGGATGGTATGCATGGAGATAAGTCCATGAAGAGGTGCAGCGTTTGCTGGGTCCAGTTTTGGAACCTTCTCCAAACCTGAAAACAACAGCTGTGCTTAACTCTTGCCACGCACGCACACCCATCAATGTACATACCTTTTATGGTAGTGTAGTATTCCAGTTGAGATATAGAGAAGTGGTTGTTGATCACTCTCACACACTCGTGTTGCCCTGGTAAAGATGAACAACACATTGAGAGCCCGTTTCATGTCCGTTCTGCACATTCTAACTAAACTGGTTGTTGATCACTCTCACACACTCGTGTTGCCCTGGTAAAGATGAACAACACATTGAGAGCCCGTTTCATGTCCGTTCTGCACATTCTAACTAAACTGGTTGTTGATCACTCTCACACACTCGTGTTGCCCTGGTAAAGATGAACAACACACCGAGAGCCCGTTTCATGTCCGTTCTGCACATTCTAACTAAACTGATTTACTACCAAAATCATGATCTGGAGTACGTACATACAATGTGCCTCAAGTACACAGTTTTTATATACCGACAAATGATCCCAGTTGGACTGCAGTCTTATTGACACCATTAACCACATTAGTTTTCGCTCCATTCTCTAGCAATAGCCACACCACTTCCTTGTGACCTGCGTCCAGTGAAAGAAAAAAAACAGAGAGATGTGACACAGATAGAGTGAATGGCAGTCAAATGGCTGAAGGTTTCTCGCAGTTTAATAACCAAAGTCTAATTGCAAACATGCCTGCTTGAAGAACCTCTGATTAGGAACTCTTGCCGGTTTTCCTTCAAATATGTTCTAAATGTCCTTATAGAACAAAAACCGGCAAGAGTAGTATATTGAGGGCTGGCTCACTCTGACTCTGACCCCTTCAATTAAGAGTCATAATCTTAGGTAATGTATGGGGCCAAACCAAGAGAGAGGTGTCCTTTATTCAGAGTATCCTTTTCAGAGGTGTGTAAATATAATGTATATATTATACATATATTTGTGGTAAATAGCAAAATACTTACCAGCTATTGTGGCAAACATTAGGGCTGTGTACTGAAAGAGAGGAAAGAAGGGTGGAGATATATACAGAGAGAGAAGGGACAAGAGAATGCACTGAAGATGGCACTTAAAGGGAGTGTGGCGGTATATATGGGCTAAATTTAGAAATGTTACTAAAGATAGAATAAACCAATAGGGGCACAGTGAAAAAATGCAATTGAGTTCCATTCTTACTAAATTTAGCCCTTATATACTGCCACATTCCCTTTAACATTGCAATACACAGTACCCCATCTTTGTGGCTGTTCCAGTTGACGGCTGCCTTGTGTTCTAGAAGTTTCCTGCAGACGTGGAGGTTGCCTCTGTAGGCAGCGTGCATCAGTGGAGTCATCCCATCCTACAGTAGGTTCTCAAAGAGACCAGTTCATGTAAAGCAAGCACAGTGTTGAACCTTATCTGGCTCATCCACGGAAAACTTTGCAGATGATAGAAGTTTTACCACCTCAGCAATGTCTGCATCTGTTTTCATTCCACAAGATATGGAAGTAAAGACTAATAATCATAATCAACCATGTATGATACCATTTGAGCACAATTCGATGAGTGTACCACTGCTTTTCGTCTCCATAACGTCAACAAAAGCGGCTGTTCGGTACTACGCATGCGCATAACGAAATGTGTTGTGATGTGGGCGTGGCTTGTATAAGCGCATGCGCAGATAGTGCACGTGCTTTATTGGCAGGGCGAAAGAAAGATGGCTGCCATTTTGCTGGGAGACAAGCGGCTATCCGATCTCAAGGTTACGGAGCTCAAAGCCGAACTAGACAAGCGCGGACTGTCGAAGAAAGGCGTCAAGAGCGTATTGGTCGAGCGTCTGAAGAAGGCGATCCTGCAGGAAGAACTGAACAACGTAAGAACCTACTTTCCACCTCTTTTGACGCTCAAGGCGTGACCTTTCCACTTTTACCGTTATTTTAGGCTAAACTAAGGTGTCTCTGGGGGTATTTATGGTTTTTTGTGTCTTTTCTCGCGCGATTTGCTAGCTCGTCTCTCTGGATGTGTATATAAGTATATGAAGAGGTGTTCGTGACTGACACGTGTTTTCACAGGTGAACGACGAAGACGATGCAGACAGTGGACAGGAAATATCTGCTGCAGATACAAGCCAAGTGAGTCAGGTCGGCCAGCAGTCCATGTACACCACAGACCTTCCGTGTCTGCATTTTGGGGGTATATGTATACAGCTGTCCAGAGCTCCGCATCTTTTTTCTCTTGGCATCACATGATCTATTGTTACATATGTATGTCTTCGAAACCCTTGCCTTCTTACTCTTCCTCCTCCTCCTCCCCTTTTCTTGCAACCACTCTCCAGGATGGGATAGAGGTGGACGGAGGTGACAGTGGAGGTGCCGAGGTTGCGGTGCCGACTGGAGATGCGGTGGGCGTTGGTCCAGACGGCTCCTCTGTTGATCCCGATCCCGATCCCTCAGTCTCCGCGGAGCCACCACCTCCACCGCAAGTCGCTAGCGACAACGACGCAGCTGTCGAGGTACGCAGCCTATACATCTGCTATCAATGAGTGGGGTCTCTAACGTGCAGCTGTTAAACCAACTGCACGGTCCCAATTTTCTTGAAGGCCTAATTGAATAGAGCTCTATAGTACGGTCGCTTCTGGCTACAAAAGAGTTTTGTTCTTCCTTCCATGTAGACACCAGTGGTGGAGAGGACTGCTGAAGAGAAAAAACCACCAGGTTTGATACAAGGAAGTAATAAAAATGTTCATATTCTTGTTTTGTTCATTGAGGGTGGTTTGAAAGTGTCGGAGGTGTCATTTTGTTGTTTTGTTTTGTTGTTGGTGTTTAATCAGAGAGATGATCACACAGTGTGTTTTATTGGGAGACTTGGACTCGACAACATCGTGACCACTCCAACTGATAATGTTGTTTCTGAGAAGATGTGATTGGTAGGAGAGGCTATCTGAACACTGACTGATGGCTCAGTTTGTTCAATGGTCTTTCAAACCAAGCCAGTATATATGTCTCATGACTAGATAAAAACACGCCAATTTCGTCAAGTAGGCAAGCAAGATCGTCCGACCTTCCCCGTTTCGATAGGGTTTTCCCCCTCTCCGAGAAATGTGGTTAAAATGCAGGATGGTAGCAAATTTCCTAAATAGTAGTGGAGTGCACCACCCTACGTAGAAAATGGCTGCTCGTAGGTATTAATACACTCACACGATTTTCGCAATATATATAATTTCTGTTGGTACGGGCCTACCGAGGTTGTTCAGTTTTGTTCCTTCACTGTCTTTGCTGCTGCCGTGGACCTCTTACTTCTAGGAAGAAGGCCACCACTCATTACATCTGATATTCTGGCATAGTGCTATATTATAATCAGCTGGTCAGCCTAAGTACAGCTGTGGTACCTCATGCATACATAGCACTGGTGTGCTTCAATTGGAAAGGCTCACACTGATGCTAAACTATACAATTGTCGGGGAAATGAATACGTAGTTGGTAATTGCGTTTATTTTCAATAGCGTTCCTGGATTTACGGCTTTCTTCGTAAAGAATGCACTCGCAAAAAGTCAGACGAGTGCTGTGTGTGATTGTACCGTGTGACCTCTGCGGCTTGCGCAATTTCTGCATGGGTTCAAGGTTCGTTGGTGTGCACGTGTGGTACCTGGCTAGGCTTAGGTACAACGTACAACACATGTGCTTTGGGTAATGTGCATAATGGTGCTAGTTGAAGATGGAAAGATCCACTTAGTTTGGTGGGTAGGCACCACCCATATGAAGAAGAACAGGAGTAAGAGATCTCGGCCCAGGATATCCCGTGGCTGCAGGTGTTGGACAATGTGTGTGGCTTACTCCACAAACAAAAGCAAGAGACTTTACTTGAAGTGTGCCGTGTGGAAGGAGTTGCTTGCTCTTTAAATAGAGCCCACCTATTACCCAAACAAGAAAACACACTAGATCTCGCACTTGAGTTTACCGAGCACTAGGTGTAACATTTGATACACGATAGACTCGAGTTTCTGCTCTCTCGCCTTGCCGCCCCCGCCCATTCCCTTTTGTCCGTCCCTCTTTTTTCATTTGTTGGTTTGTTTGATTTTTGGATTTGAGTGAATGTTGATGAACGCATTTAGAATGTTTTTTTGTTTGAGTTTTCCCCCACAGTGAAGACCTACAGAAAGCGGTATATTTTTGTTGTGTTTCTGCTCATTATTTTGTGTGTTTATTCTGTTAACCCTTTCCCTCCCCTCTTCTTCCCTCCAACACATGTAACGAAAAACGCCCGCTCTGAATTACATCCGCAAATCAATTGATTATCTTAACACTTTCTTGACTTTTTTAAAACTGATTCGTGTTTTCGACAGTTTGCGACCGACCAAATAACGAAACTGAAACGAAACGGGCTCCGTCTGCCCCGGAAATAGACACGGTTGCCATGGATACCTCAGACTCCATCGCCGCTAGCGACGATGGGCAGGAAGAGGAGGAAAAGGGTCAGAGCAATCTGCCGATGGACCTCGGGTCACCTTTGGACTCTGACCCCGAGTTTGACCTCTTGCCCGGAGAGCAAGACGACTCTATGGACATGCCTGGAAAAGAAGGCGATGGTGATGAAGAAGTGACCAAGACAGAAAACCAAGAACGTGAAGAAACGGCAGTGGATGACGGTGATAAAGAAGAAGAGAAAGGCGAAGAAGAAGCGAGGGAACAAGAAGAATCGGAACAGAAGAAGGAGAGAGAGAAAGAAGAGGCGAAGGGTGCCGGGGGGAAGAGGATCGATAGACTGGACAGTACTTTTGACTCGAGTTATGAACCAGCGACAGAGGAACTGCTGTACGAAGGAGACCCCGATACAGAGGTGAAGCAAGAGACATCGGAAGAGAAGACCCCAGCTGAGGAGGGGCGGCGGTTGACCTCACAAGAGAAGGACGAAGGAGGAGGGGATAAGCCGGCCGATACTTCAGTGACAACCGAGAGACGCGATGAAGACATAGGGTTCATGGTGGAAGTCCACTACAAGGATCAGGGAGGAGGCCTCGAAGATCCGGTTGCCACGGTGATAGGCCCCGCCCATTCATCGTCGTCAGCTAGGGAGGAGCCTAGAGGGAAAGCTAGTGTTGTCACAGGCGGGAAGACGACAGGCGATAGTAACAGGTTCGTGTTGCCGTACCGTTTTCCCTCCCCTTTTCTCTCCACAGCACTGTACTCCAATTGGAGTACACCATAGTGTGTTCTAATTGAAGCACACTCTGTAGTGTATTTTCCAATTGGAGCACGCTGTAAGAGTGGGCCACAATTTCAAAAGTGCAGGTGCACCTTTCCTCCAATCGAATCGTTGAATTAAACTTTGTACCATCGTCAGATCTGTATTTCACTCGACCAACATAATTCCCATCAAAAAAACAGTGAAACTTGTGAACCAAGAGTAATGGTGGAATTTAAACTCCTGGAGTGAAACCTGGAGAGAATATTTGAAGAATTTGTAAACGACGAATGGATAAGAGCTTCGTTTCAAAGACTAGTTGGATGAGTAGTCGGAGCATTTTGGTAGGAGCATTCTCCGTATAGGGTATACGTAAGCCTTATTCAGTCGTCTTATTTCAAATCAGAGCCTATTCTTCCCCTTATGCTACTAGATGGTAAAGGCATTATATACTCTCCCATTCATTGTGTGACTAGTTGATGTGAGTGTTTTCTCAGATTTTTGGCTTAGCAGCTGCAATTGGAAATAGAGAGGCTTTGCTTCGCTTTCGCTTTCAGTTTAGCATGAGCATCTGTTCCTTAGAAATGAGAGTGAAGAAGCTTTTCTTTATCAGTGAGATTGAAAAACGAGGTGACAATATTAACTCCGAAACCTGCAAGTCATCAGTTTCTTATCTTGAAAACTGGCGTCGTAATTTGAAAAATGTGAGGGAAGAGGAAGACCGGAAGAAAGTGGTTGACATGACTACTGTGGGGAAAAGGGGAAGGACCTTTTGTCTTGGAGTTGTAGCTCAGTGCGTAGTCCCCTGGACTTCCTCGATGGCTGAGTTTCACTTCCCGACAGAAGTGTCCTCTTTTCCTGCTGTGCACTTCGTCCATCCTTCGGTGATCGTCAACACAAAGCTCTCTGCAATCTCAACTTATCTCATCGCGTGTGCAACCATCACAACTGGCAGTAGTTATCTAGTCGTTGCATGATTAGCTGTACATGTTTTTTTCCCCCGAGTTCACTTGCGTACCAACTGACACACAAAGTCAGAACTTCTACTTGAAAAAAAAATGAACTCACATACTACTTGAAAAAAAATTGGTACGCAAGTGAACTTACACCTTGCAGTAGTAGCAACATCTTGTTTTACGATAACTAGATATATTGGTTCGTGTGCAGTGGATTTTATAAGGCCCTTCTCTCTCTCGTTTTATATTTAGGCTGTCAGGATGCCACCTGTGGGTAGCTGGACTGGTCGCTTCCGTAAGAGCACTCGATCTTCAGACTCTGTTCTCTTCCTTTGGACAGGTATGTGGGTGGGCTCCAATTGGGATACACTGATGGAGGGCGAGCTTTAAATAGAGTACAGTGAGTTGATGGGTTTCAACTGGTGGGTTACGAACAGAATGAAGTAATATGTTGCAGGTGGGCTTCAGTTAGAATGCATCGGAGAACGTGTGTAATGTATAAGGGTGAAAAAGCCTATTTGTAATGGTGAACTGTTTTACAGGTGGTGTCGGCTAAAGTGGTTGCCAAGGCACAGTCCAAGGCCCGGTTTGGGTATGTGACTCTGGCAACCCGGGAACAGGCCCATAAATGCATCTTGGAGCTGAACGGAACTGAACTAAAGGGGAGCACCATTCATGTGGAGCTTGTAAGTTTAGTTTTGGTACTCTTCCTGATCGAAGTTTACTCGCTCGGAAGTGGGCATGGCATCATTGGTTGTTGTTGAAAATTTGCATATAATTAGGTACAAATGAATTCAGTACAACTCCCTCCCTTTCTTGGGTTGCATGTTGTGGTTTAAGAATAATCCATCTCCCCTTCCTCTTTTTCTCCGGCCGTAATTCGGCAATAAGTTAGTCCAACTCTCAATGGTTGATCCACTCTCACCCTCACCTCTCCCTCCTCCACAGGCCAAGACAGCTCCCCCTCTCTCCCAGCCTTCCCCCGGAGGAGGCAAAACTCAGATGTCACATCGAGCATCGGCCGCCGGCTCTTCTCGGGGGAAAGACAGCGGAGCTAAAAATGTCCACGACGCTCGAGAAAAAGGTATATACACAATTCTCCCCCCAAAAAGGTTTAAAGTGTCATGTTCCTTGGCACGTGTAACCTCAGGCAATACTGCCACACATTTTTAGCGAGCGAGTGAGAGCAGTTAAATTTTTCGCGCGTATTTAGAATCAAGTAGGACATTAAAGGTATTTGCAGTGCCTGTCACAAGTAGAAAATCCCTGCATTCAGACGACTAAGTGGGCTCGCTTCGCTCATCAATCAAAAATTAACCTCCCGAGTCCATCAGCTATTCCACGTCTGCCTGTCCCCATTCACTACCCATTGATCTGTTCCCCTGTTCCCATTCATTGATCTGTTCCCCTGTTCCCCTGTTCCCACTCATTGATCTGTTCCCCTGTTTCCACTCCAGATAAGGTGGGACAGGCCATCACTAGGAAGTCGCCGGGCGGAGGAGGAGGGGGAGGGGAGGGGAGAGTCGGAGTCAAGGCGGGGGATCGAGGTAGAGAGGATCGCCGGAGATCTTCGGGATCGTCCAGGTCAGTGGAGGTCTTATTGAATCCATAGTGCATGAAGAAACTCGGACTTGCAGCAGGTGTAGAGATTTGAAGTGAATGTCTACGGGAGCTTTAGAAACTATTACTGAGAACAGAAAATCTTTCACTGGGTGTTTAGCTCTGAACGTTCCAATTTGTGTGTCGTGCACTCTAGAACTGGCTCCATTCCAAGTAACAGCTCTATGTAGTAGAACAGGTGTGGGTGTAACGCATATGAATTAGGTGCAGTAGTGACAGTGGGTGTCGCATACTGCGGACCATCACGGTTGTAGAGGTGTGGCCTCTGGGTGGAGACAGATAGGTGTGGCCTCTGGGTGGAGACATAGGTGTGGCAAACCGGACACACGAAGCAAGATATTTCTTCTGAATAGCAGAACAGGCCTTTCTGCAGATGTTCTGATAGAGTAGACCTCCGGTGGCAAATCCCTGTACCGCCTGTTCACTCTTGTTTATTACACGGCAGGTACCACGGCGACGAGCGCTCATCGCACTCTCGTCGGAGCAGGAGTCCCCCGCTGAGGAGGAGTCCTCGAGGCGGCAGACCTCGCGGAGGAAGGTCAGCACAACCTTTTAGTCATCTTCTTTGCATTCCATGAAACTTCCGTTGCCACTTTTTAAAATTTTTTTCCAAACTTCTCTGTTGTCTAGAATGTCTCCGTCCCCGCGGTCGTCGTCGGGGAGTTACCCTGGCTCCTCGTCGCTACGGGGACCAGCGTCTCACTCGAGGGACGCTCGTGACGACATCATCCGTCGTGAGGAGCAACGACGAGATCTGATGGAGCGACGTCTCGGAGCCGATCCCTACTACCGCGAGGGATCCCGTCAGGTGGGTGTGGCTTGTGTCCGCACTGTCCGCACTTAATATTCATTACTGTCTGAGGGCGTCCTCCCCCAGGAAAATTAGTGTCTCTGAGATCGCAATATGTGAAGCAAAAAGGCTTTATGCTGAAGTGTAGCTTTGTGTGGCATTATCAAAAGGTAGGGGTGGCGAGTGAGGGGAGGTGGGAGCCATTCATCGCCATCCCCTTTGAACAAGATTTTAGGCAAGCTAAAACAGGCACAATGCCGCCAAAAACCTAACTTGTACGCACGTAGGTGTTGTATGCCTTATTCAGCGCCAAAAATGTTCCATTTGTGCGTGTATTGATTCCAGCTGCAAATGCGTTGCTAAGCTTCATTTTGGATGTCGGTAGATATGGTTGGCATGTAAACAAACCTTTCCGTCTATTTATCGGTCTCCCCGAGTATGGAAATGTAAACTCAGTCCATGGCAACGTGGTGGCGTATATGGTCATTTCACACACGCACGCACACACGCACATCTGCGTTGGTTATTAGCTCATGTCTGAATACTTACAACTGCATAATGTACATTCACCACCGCGTCGAAATAACCGCCCGAAATGTGATCTTTTGTGCAGCCTAGTGGCTTTGACTAATGCTATTTACGGTCAAAAATGCTCGTTTCGCACGCCGAGTTAATGATTTCATGTCAGAGCTAGTGAGAAAGTCCATATACAAGTGCCTGAAGTTCGCGTTGCACTTTGCTGGTCCGGGGTCAAAGGTCGTCTTGGGGTGCCTGTAAGGGTTCAAGGCATGTAAACAGCCCGTAGCCCTGGGGAATATGGAACGGGCCCTCGGAAGTGTAGGTTGCATATATGGCGTTTGTGTACGGGTGTGTAATAAACCAAATCCCTACGAATTTATTGGTGTGTTCGTCGACGCACGTGTGATATATAGTTCTAATTCCTCCCCGTGTGAATGTGGACGTTTTCTCACCTTCCATATGTTTGTACATGTTTGTACTGGGAATTAATGGCCAGCTTTAAGCGTGTGAAAAATGCCTTAAACGTGTCTATGAATATTTCTCGTGTTTTGCCTGTGAACATAGCTTTGCAAGTCGAGTTGGTGACAGTCTCTTAATTAACCCTTTCCACACCACCGATATACAAGCAGAAACCATGTACAAAGTATTAACGCCTAGTATTAAACGTCCATGTAACATTTTGTTGCTTATATGGAGACAATGGATACATTTATGTGTCCTTGGCTGGGGTTAAGTGTTAAGATATGTGTTGCTGGAATGAACATATTTACATGTGATGTTTATCTGTTGGCAAGCAACAGGTGACAGTATTCTGGCTATTTCAAAGGTTGCAGAGGCTTCGACAAGATGCTGGGTTTTAGCACAATTTTTTCCCAACCGTTTTTGGGAGCTTTTGTGCGTTTATTCTTTTTTACTGAGTTTTATTTCCCCTCTTCAAGCTTTTTTCTTTTTACGTTGTTCCAAGTTTTTCCGTATGAAGAGGGTTTTATTTTTTTACCTAAATTTTCTCTGTGTTTAGGTGATGGTGGATGACCGTCGCTTTGCCGACCGTTACCAGGAGATAGCTGCACGCAGGCAGCTGGAGCTCGAGCAGACGCGGCGGGAGCAGGAAATGGCTCGGAGGATGCAGGAGATAAGAGAGAGGGAGACCAGGTGAGCTAACTTGTCGGGAGACTCTTACATTACAGTGAAACCAAGGGATGCATTTAAGTGTCCTTTATTCAGAGGTGTCATAATAACATACCCTAATATTAGGGCAGAACCAAATATTCAGGTGTCCTTTATTTCGAGATAGGGATAGGTGCAGCACGATAGCGGATGTTACCATTCCATACTCCAACTGTAGTCAAAGTATTAAGGATAGTTGGTTTGTCTCTTCTTCCATTCTTGTGCCTACAAAAAATGCGAAATCGTTGACACCTTTATTAATAGAGGGACAGCAAAATTTGGCCAAGATGGGGATTGGTGCAGCACGATAGCGGATGTTACCATTCCATACTCCAACTGTAGTCAAAGTATTAAGGATAGTTGGTTTGTCTCTTCTTCCATTCTTGTGCCTACAAAAAAATGCGAAATCGTTGACACCTTTATTTAGAGGGACAGCAAAATTTGGCCAAGATGGGGATTGGTGCAGCACGATAGCGGATGTTACCATTCCATACTCCAACTGTAGTCAAAGTATTAAGGATAGTTGGTTTGTCTCTTCTTCCATTCTTGTGCCTACAAAAAATGCGAAATCGTTGACACCTTTATTTAGGGGGACAGCGAAATTTGGGTGAGATAGGGATTGGTGCAGCAAGATAGCACATGTTACCATTCCATACTCCAACTGTAGTCAAAGTATTAAGGATAGTTGGTTTGTCTCTTCTTCCATTCTTGCTCCTACAAAAAATGCGAAATCGTTGACACCTTTATTAATATGGGGACAGCAACATTTGGGCGAGATGGGGATTGGTGCAGCAAGAGTATAGGTGGGTATCTTCCTTTATTCAGAGGTGTCATTCAGAGGTGTCATAATAACATACCCTAATATTAGGGCAGAACCAAATATTCAGGTGTCCTTTATTTCGAGATGGGGATTGGTGCAGCACGATAGCGGATGTTACCATTCCATACTCCAACTGTAGTCAAAGTATTAAGGATAGTTGGTTTGTCTCTTCTTCCATTCTTGTGCCTACAAAAAATGCGAAATCGTTGACACCTTTATTTAGAGGGACAGCAAAATTTGGCCAAGATGGGGATTGGTGCAGCACGATAGCGGATGTTACCATTCCATACTCCAACTGTAGTCAAAGTATTAAGGATAGTTGGTTTGTCTCTTCTTCCATTCTTGTGCCTACAAAAAATGCGAAATCGTTGACACCTTTATTTAGGGGGACAGCGAAATTTGGGTGAGATAGGGATTGGTGCAGCAAGATAGCACATGTTACCATTCCATACTCCAACTGTAGTCAAAGTATTAAGGATAGTTGGTTTGTCTCTTCTTCCATTCTTGCTCCTACAAAAAATGCGAAATCGTTGACACCTTTATTAATATGGGGACAGCAACAGCAGAACTCACCCAAACTGTTCTGAGAGCGGCTTTGCATGCGCGGCAACATTTAACAATGCGTCCAGAGCTTCCGTAAGTCGGTAAGAATTTATATAGGGGTTATAATACTAGGCCCAAATACATGGTGTCCAAAGGGTTAATGTTTGTTCTCTGCAGGGAGCGAGAGATGAGGGAGAGGCAGATGGCTGAGCAGGAGCGACTCTTCAAGGAGAGAGAGAGGGTCATGAGGGAGAGGGAGTACCGAGAGAGGCAGAGGAGGGAGCAGTTGGAGAAAGAACTGAGGGAGAGAGACCAGAGAGAGAAGGAACTACGGTGAGGGTCGCCGGGGTAGCGGTAAACTTCAGGGAGACTGGGGACCTCTTGTTGCATCCACTGGCTATAGATAACCCAGCACTTTACCAGCCACTGATACATAATGTGTACTGAGGTTCTGCAAGTCCGTAAGAGTTGGTTATGATACTACTATATTCATGATTTTCTGCCTCTTTATGGAGGTGCCCATGGGGTCAAAAGTGTAAATAGGGGAATAGACGCTCTTGTAGTAAAGGGATATGTGTCAGTACGTAAGGGCTAAATTTAGAAATGTTACTAAAGATAGAACCAAACAAAAGGGCCCAGTGCAATCAAGTTTACATTTTCAGTAACAGTTTTGTAAATTTAGCCATTACATACCACCACATTCCCTTTACGTTGACCGAGTCCGGCAGGCTATATGTTGTTTGCCTATTTCCGTCGTTTCCACTGTAGTGAGAGAGAGCGTCGAATGCGCGAGCAGCACCTGCAGGAGATACGAGACAGAGAACTGAAGGTGGCCAGAGAACGGGAACTGCGAGAGAGGGAAGTCCAGGTGAGAGAGGTGGACTTGGTCACCATACATCATTACTAGGAATGCGCACGCGCATATTTTGCCTCGCGCCTGCCAGCCAATGCGTAAACAGTAAATTTGCCCCTGCTGAAGAAAATTTCTAGAAATTTCTCGCCGCCCTCCCACTCTCAGGCTCGAGTTCTGCGTGAGAGGGAACTGCAGGAGAAGGAGCAGAGACTGCTTCAGGAGCACCAGAGGATACAGAAAGAAAAGCAGATGTACGAAGAGCAGCAGCGAAGGCTGAGGTAAGAGGAGTGATTTCGTTGTTTTTCCTGGCTCTCTGTCCCCTTTGAACCTGGCCGGGGGCGACCACTCTACCTTTTTAGTCTTGCCTCGTGCCTGCTTGTCTAATTGAAATTGTAGACGTGTGTCTGTTGGTTGCTGTGTCAATTTGCCAAAATTATTGTTTTTATCGTTGAAAGGTCACAAAGTGTGTATGAACCCAGGATGAACCAAGGGGAGGGAGGGGGCGCGGCTTTCCTTTGCAATACCTTCTTATGACTCATTGTCTAACTTTTTTCTTTTTTTTCTTTTTTTCTTCCAAAGGCCAGAAACAGTAAACGATACAAAAGACAAGCACTGATTAGATAATCTGTTTGGTTTTTTTTTGTTTTTGACCCAGGGAGGAAGCTGAGAGGCAGGCGAGGGAGCGAGAACGCGAAGCCAGGGAGCGAGAGGCGAGAGAGATGGAAGTTCGCGAGGCCCGCGAAAGAGACAGGAAGCTGGAGGCCGAGAGGGAGCGCCGGCTCCGCGAGGAAAAGGAACGCGAACGAGAGCGTCGTGAGAGAGAGAGAGCTGCCGAGGAGAAACGACTACAGCTGGAGCGCGCCGCCAAACTGGAGCACGAACAGAAACGCAAACAGGAGGAGATGAAGTGGGAGCGCGAGCAGAGTCGGATGCTTCAGCAACAGAGGTTGGGGAAGAGGGGGAGCGGTGGGTACCAGGATTCTTCCGGGTACGACATGGCTAAAAGACAGGCAGTACATGACATCAGGAGTGTTGGTGGAGGTGTCCGCAGTGCAAGTACTGGCGGAGGTGGAGGAGGGATGGACTTATTCGACCTCTCGTCCAGCGTGTTTAGCAGACTCGACCCGCAGAAGCAGGTGACAGCAGACGGTCGTGTGAGCGGCGGAGGAATGCAGAATGTTTCCGGGATGATCTCAGGCAGTGCGGGTGGCGGGAAAAACAGCAGCATGGCTGATGCATACTCCAGGCGAAGTGCCGGGGACGCTGGTGGTGTGGGAGGTGGCGGGTATCGTCAGGGAGGGGGCTATGGAGTTGGGGGAGGAATGGGGAGGGAGCGTCATATGGATACGGGGGTCACCTACCCCATACCAAGTCTGAACAAGAGCGGAGGGCCGACCTCGTCTCAGGGGTACCAGAAAACTTCGGGGACAATTGGGGGCGGGGTGACCGTAGTCCAAAAGGGTGGGGCAGTGGGCCTCTCGCGGCAGAACCAGGACATAATCTCAGCCGCGCTCGCAAACATCCAGAAGTCGGTCGGCACGAGCGCGAATCAGATGCGCATTACGGGGTCGTCCCCAATCCAGCAGATGAGTTCCGCTACCCACATGTCGGCTACGGGCCTCGGGGATTACATGAATCGCGGGGACCCGGTGGGGGGCCAAGTGTCTTCAATTGGAGGGGTCGCTCGTCAGATGATGGGTGGGGGAGGGGGCATGGGAGGAATGGCTAAACCACAGTCAAAGCTACCACCAGAAGACGAGAGATACAATCGACGATTCACTCGACCCTCACATGCGCCAAGACAAGGAAACATTAAGAGATTTTAAGATCTCGCAAGTCCTCCGTTGACCACATCATGAACTTTGAAAATGTGACAATCGGGCACTGCGTAGTTGTACAAGATATTAGACAAGTTAGTCGTTTACCTACCTAGACAGCCTTGTTTGTTGGGCTGTTGTTTTCTTTCACAATCACATCATACCTTTACTCCCCCACCTTTTTGGCTGTGCTTTCATCTTAATTGTATTTTGTTGTTGATGTAAACTTAGTATATATTGTAACAAAATTAATAAGTCTGTGCACACAAACAGACCCCTCCTCCGCTAATGACGTAATATGATTCAAGAGAACACGTGTCTCGTTGAAATGTACAAACATAGTTAATTTATAATGTAAGTATATACCCGAGAATCCCGAGATAAGAATTTTGCGCAGAAAATCTTTTCACTCTGCCAAAAGAATGCTACGCCTGTTTCCCTGCACACATATTGTGTCACAGTAATGAAGTTGCAATGTGTGGGGTAGGGAGGGAGGTGGGAAGATTGGCTCCAGCAATGCTGCTGTTTGCATGTACATGATTGAGATAACATACACACGTACAGCCACAGACTGTCTTGGTACAATGAACATACACAATGTGTACACAGCTGCCTAGACATGTTCTATGTCTGGCCAGAGGCATAGTGATGTCAGACTGCAGGCACAAAACGGGCATTCAGTGTGGGTAGCAACAGGGGATTCTCCCAATGAAAACAACAGCATGTGGGGTCATGCATTTCAGTTCCGCAAGTAGGGGAGTCCACCTTCTGGGAACAGCTAGCCCCCCTTGTAGGGAAACAGTAACTATTGGCTTACTGTATGTAGCTGCATTCAGGCTCCATGGGTATATACAGTAGCTTGACTAATGGAGGAGTCATTAGGGGTCGACTGACGATAATACAATTAGGTAGTGTTTTTGAGCAAAAGTACTTACCTCATCTGGCCCTGGTCACAGGATCCGAGGCACCTTAGCTTGTTGACAGTTGAGCTCAAACTTCTAATTTAGGTGATAATTGCGATAGGGGAGCTATATCCATAACCACCATATTCACGTATAGTGGTGTCTGATAGTCTCGACTTAACCGGTATACTGACCTTTGTCACGGTTGTAAAATTAACTCCCAAATGTGGGTGCGATGATTTTTGCAAGTGGACAATCGTTCATTGTGCCGGCTCCTACAATTAAACACTCGCTATGGAAGAAAGAATGTGGGGAAAGCAGGAAGGTTCATGAGCAGTGTGTTCGTCTTGGCTAGTTGCCTAGACATCACACACTACCAATGGAACCTTGGGCCTTTAGAAGACATTTTAGAGTGCTCTAACTATAAACACACCAGTGTTGTTTGGTTTTTGTTATAGGTACGAAAATGCGTTGACATTTCGTTGTTTCTCTAAAGGGGCAAATAAGGAGAATTAGGGGAATGTACAAAGAAGGAAAGGAACATCGAAGTAAGCGATGACCACTGCATGACAGCACCTTTCTTGACCAAGACCAAGAGGTTCCTTGGGTGGGGGACTTTAACCCACGAAATGGGTCGTCTCTCGCTCGCCTAAAATCTCAGGAGTTACAAATGTCGAGCAATCTTTGTTTGAGTGTGACAATTCAGCGTTTATTGCTGTCATTTTCGAAAGGTGTACCTAAAATTTCTCAACGCTGATATGGAAGGGCACTTAACACACTAGAAATGTAGCTGGGGTATAAATCATTGGTGCCTTATACTGCTCTCTTGCACTGAGTCATTTCCTACACACCTGATACTTTGGCCGAGCTGGCTCAGCTGAGCTCATTATCGTTCATCTCATTATGGCATAACAGAGTGCCTCTAAGAGATACAAACATAATTAGAGGGTAATATGCATTTAGACACATCAATGTGTGTGACAGCCATGCACTACACAACTCCTATGCACAAGTGTTTTATGCATAAGCTACCAACTGTCACACAAGCAACAAAAGGTTTTTGAGCAAAGCATGACTGCTAGGTGACCTAGTTGTCCCTATTGCAAGGTATCAATCCAATGTCTCTGGGAAATGGCAATGTGAATGCGCTATTATAACGTGCAGTGGTTCAGAGGTCGGGCTCTGCTCGACAAAAATGTGTTGCATTCTCATTGCAATGTAGAGAGCAGGGTGCATTGCATCATTGTATAGAGAGCAGGGTGTATTGGGTCTGAGCCCTACCCAAGGTATATACAATTTTAGAAATCTTGATTGTCCTGCCCTTTTGACTTGTCCTGGTATTATTATGCCTTGCCATTTATGTTAACACGAATGTAGGTGTGTTTTATTGAAAAATGTGGTCAATTAATCGATCCACGTCCATTTAAAAGGACGACGACTCGTTTATCTGATCGTTCACATTAGTGATCTTGTATAGACGTACGTCCGCCAATAATGATACCATACAACAAACAACAACTAGGGCCAATAATACTAGTACTCCACGGTACATTGGTGTGTATGTGACTGCGTCCGCAACAAGAATTTAGATTTGCTCTCAGACCAATGCAGGTGTTGGCATAAGATGTTGTAACACTTGGCAAGAGTTACATAAGAACGCTCAATCAGTCCACCGGTCTAATTTGGTCTAGTATCGAGGGCGGGCATGTACCGATGTCGCCTGATTTGATATTGCGCAATTTTTTCAGCGACACGATTCTTCGCGACGGAACACATGTGACGACGATTTCCTAATAAGTCTGCCGCTGGTAGCCAAGACTGATTCGCAGTAAACTCAGGTAAACAGTTCTAGTAATACCAGTAGAGTGACCTAACTTTTTTAACTTCCTCAATCAGGGTACATAAGGTTTGAACTATGCACATACACTTTAGAATTTTTATTGCGCTTGCTGTCTTGTTGATCAGTGAGGTATCCTGATTGGTGAGGTGTCCTGATCAGTGAGGTGTCCTGATCAGTGAGGTGTCCTGATGTGAGGTGTCCTGATCAGTGAAGTGTCCTTATTGATGAGGTGTCCTGATCAGTGAGGTTCCTGGTCAGTAAGTGGAGGTGTCCTGATTGGTGAGGTGTCCTGATCAGTGAAGTGTCCTTATTGATGAGGTGTCCTGATCAGTGAGGTGTCCTGATCAGTGAAGTGTCCTGATGGTGAGGTGTCCTGATCAGTGAGGTGTCCTGATTAGTGATTGGTGAGGTGTCCTGATGGTGAGGTGTCCTGATCAGTGAGGTGTCCTGATTAGTGAGGTGTCCTGATCAGTGAGGTGTCCTGATTAGTGAGGTATCCTGATTGGTGAGGTATCCTGATTGGTGAGGTATCCTGATTGGTGAGGTGTCCTGATCGGTGAGGTGTCCTGATTACACAAGTGACCTACATATGTATCCTGATTAGCACTTATGGTACCATCTTCTGTGGCGATCCAGTGTATGGAAGCATCAAGACGGATCATGCTCCATAGAATCAAGACTGCAGCTGTTCCAGTGTATGGAAACATCAAGACGGATCATGCTCCATAGAATCAAGACTGCAGCTGTTCCAGTGTATGGAAGCATCAAGACGGATCGATGCTCCATAGAATCAAGACTGCAGCTGTTCCAGTGTATGGAAGCATCAAGACGGATCATGCTCCATAGAATCAAGACTGCAGCTGTTCCAGTGTATGGAAACATCAAGACGGATCATGCTCCATAGAATCAAGACTGCAGCTGTTCCAGTGTATGGAAGCATCAAGACGGATCATGCTCCATAGAATCAAGACTGCAGCTGTTCCAGTGTATGGAAACATCAAGACGGATCATGCTCCATAGAATCAAGACTGCAGCTGTTCCAGTGTATGGAAACATCAAGACGGATCATGCTCCATAGAATCAAGACTGCAGCTGTTCTGGAATCCGTGCGCTGCTAATCAAATTGGCGTTGGATATGGACATATGGAGCACGCACACGTGTGTTCACTGATTGACATAATTACACTCGCGAAACACGCTGAGATTCCATCACAGCTGCAGTTGTCTATAAAAGGGGAAAGGCGTGGCAGTGGATTAAAACAGGATTTGGTCCCGTGTTATTGTTCCCAGAAAAACATTTTAAAAGCAGTATGGGCCTGCGTGACAATGACCTGTGCATAATATGGCACCCTGGAGATGTGGAAATACAAGCATGGAACCCTAGCATACACAGAACAGTATGGATATATGAACACCCTAAGTGAGAGATACAACAGGATGTAATATTACATATAAGATGAGTGAGAAATAAGCATACACAGAACAGTATGGGATATATGAATACCCTAAGTGACCAGGATGTAATATATACATATAAGATGAGTGAGAAATAAGCATAGAACCCTAGCACAGAACAGTATGGGATATATATGAACACCCTAAGTGAGAGATACAACACCAGGATGTAATACATATAAGATGAGTGAGAAATAAGCATAGAAACACCCGAGATGTTGGTAAATAAGCATGTGAGAAATATGCATATGACAGGTGGGTATGGAATAGAGCACCCATGTGAGAATTCAAGGAAAGTGAATGAGTATAGATATGTGGAGAAATTGCATATGAAATGTGGTAGGGATAAGCAGTGGAAATATGCATATGAAATGTGGGTAATGAGTATAGAGCACACCAGGTGAGAAATATTAGGCATAATAACACCTGTGCAGATATAAGCATAGTAAGTGAGAAACGTGCAATAAACACATTGGAAATATGGGGAAAGAAATATTTATGTGGATAAATACCTGTACTGGGGACTTAAATATTATAGAGAGCACGGTGATTACGTGAGAAAATTGTAAACTCAGAGACACGGGTAGTACCGTACTTTTGGGAGCGAAAAATGGGCATACATACATACATAGTATTACAGGAGCAAATGCTGTATTGAATTGCCATAAAAGGTTTCATACAAGGTGTTAACAGAGCATTGTGTGCACACATCAATTTACTGCTAATTACGACGGTTAGAGTCCAGAGTATTCCTCAATAGCGGGTGATCTCTGTCCATGGAAGCCTTCCTGCGACCTACTACGTCGATTCGCATCGACCTCATACCCACGCCGAGAATATGCCCTTGTATCTGCTTTCCCACAAGCGGTTGTCAGGGAAGCTGTATTCTCGAGGGGTTTCCCTGCACCATGATTTCATACGCTACGCACTCTCTTTGAGAACAGAACTGTCGTACGTACGTAAAACCATAGAAATATTGTCTCGTTTGTGATTCTTTCTGACGGCGTGGCCATTGAAGGAGAATAGTGTCGGCGTCTCCTCTTTCAATGTGTGTTCTAGTGCGTCTTCCGATCGTGCTGAACCTCGTGACCTCCTAAGGCATGATCGATGCTCGTTCGTTTGTTGTTACCAGCCAGTCGATTGTGTGTGTGTGTGTGTGTAGTTGAGGACCACTCCGTAATTGCGGGGAAAATGCAGCACGTTTTGATGTTCTGGCTAAAGTGATTTGGTATATATCAGGGATTCCCACGATGGGCTGCTGGTATTACGTACTCTGTCAACATTAACCCCGAAATTTTCAGCGAATCGTGGGTATTTACAAATCGTCAGCACTGTAATATACATCGGATAATGTTATGGATACCCTTACAGGTTATACTATATCGGATAGAGACGCACCCCATAACTCGATCACACACACACGTGTGCGCCAAGTTCATACGAGCATGTGCGAAAGCCATAAAATGCATATTATTATTACATTTGCTCATCAAGTAAGCCTACCCCACAAACATATCTTGTACACGTGTGAAGGCTGGTATGAAGGCTGGTGTGAGAATGTGTGAAGAACGGCTGCAAGTACACTGCACGCAACACGTATACCTCATATTTCCCTCACACACTTGGTATATACTGTTTCAGACACACACCGTATAATTGCATAACACACACACACACACCAATACATCCCGTGCATTGCCAAGCAACTAAAATGCATCTCTTAGCATGTAAACAACCATGTATTATAGTCCATACATCCTTCACAACACGCATGTATATGGAACACGTGTACCATTAAACTACCAAGGGGGGCATATAACCTATAGAAAAGGGAGGATATGAGTCACAATGGAAACAAATGTGATGTCACAACTGTATACTCCACACTATATATAGAGCCCCTACGCATTGCAAGTACGGTTCCAATATACATGACTTTGCCATATTTCTCGCTGCGTTATAGACCAGCGCTTGAGATCACTGCATTATGTTTGTGGTGGAAGAAGTGTAAAAGTGGCGCCTGGCAACGCTGCATTCATTCAATTTGCGTCGCGCGGTAAACGTCAACCGCACGTGTTGTTGGGAACTTTTATGGACATGTGGTCTTGTATTGTATTGCCCAACAGGTGCACACAAACTCTTGATGATCACGAAAACAGCATATTCAGCCACACGAGACAATTACTCGTCAATGTATATACTGCTGGCACAAACAAACTCTCCGTGCATTTTTAATGATCCACACGCAAACGTGCGGCCGCACGCCGCCGTGAATAGATGTGTTGGACAAGCCCGGTATCTTGGCAATGCATGCACCTTACAATCATGTGTAAAATTATGTGGAAAATACATACAAACACCTAGTCTGACTTTTCCGAAAAACCCATAACTTTGTCCATAAAATGTCCAAAGAGTTTTGGATCCCCTGCTTTATATGGTGTGAGTTTCTCCGGATCGAACTGATGCAATGTAGGCAGTAGATTACTGGGGTGACGGAAGAAGGGAGGGAGGGAGGAGGGAGGGAGGGAAGGAAAAAAGGGAGGAGGGAGGAGGAGGAGAGAGTAAGTAAGGAAGGAAGGGAGAGGAAAACCAAAGACTCATAACCATGAACAAAAACAGTGAGAGCACAAGAAAAATGTAAAAATTAACGAGGGAGGCACCACTTAATTATATTTGGCACAATTACAGTGTCTAGACAGCAGAAAAATGATAACATCTATAAACTATACAGTTTTGTGCCTATGGAGACTAAGGATACGGAAATTTTTACTTACAAACTCTGACCTTCCTTGGAACAGCATAAATTTTATTATTGCCCCCAACTGGGCATTACGTATACAATGGTCAGATGGGATTTATATTCTTGGGGAGGGAGGGTAAATATGTAAAATATTACCCCAAATGAGTTGAAACCCTATGCGTAGGTCAGGAGGATTTATATAGATATTGTGGGGGATTTATTCAGAGTTGTTGTCTCCTATTGCTCAGTATGCTAGTTCTGCTCCACTACACTCTGAGGCAGAAGGAAAGTTCTCTGGTGGCCCTGGCTAAGAGCAGGAGAAAAAATGTTCAACTCTATGCACAGTATAGAGGTGTTTTGTGCGGTAAATTCCCCTGGGCTGGTGTTCTAGCTTGAAATGTTCAACTCTATGCATGTATATCCTGCAGGTTGTGAGGTAAATTCCCCTGGGCTGGACCGACAAGGTGCTGCATGCCACACCGTGCCGTGTCGTCTCCGAATGAGGTGGTGGAATGTCTATCTCCAAACATTGCAGGGAAACAAACGGCACCGTTTGAATGGCCGTGTTTGCTTCCCGCCCCAGATTGTTTACAAGCAGACGCTCAGGCACCGCTACATCGCTTTGTCGGTTATCTATTCATCTCGCTCGTTGTGTTTTCACGTTGCCTTTTCCTTAGGTATTTGCCGCCATTCAGCATGCACACGTTGGATGTATGTCGAGAGTCCATTCCGTGTTGTTACTTCCTGTGTTACATGCAGTCGGGGATATTCACATATGCAGTCTGGAAGAATGTTTCCCATGACTCATACAAGTCAATATTTAGCACCATTAGACACGCAGAGATTTTTTACCCTCAAACTGAATCTGCATGATGTATGTACTCCTACTGCCTTGTGTTGTGTTGTGTTGTGTTGTAGATTCGAACCCCTACCAGTGGAGTTGCCCTGGTAGCTCAGTTGGTAGAGAGCACTCGCCTAGACTGCAGAGTGTCGTGGGTTCAAATCCCACCCAGGGCAACTCTTCTTAGAGCTGTCCTGGGTGTAGTTGACTTGTTTGCTTTGCCTTGCCTTTCTACCTCGCTACCTCGTTGTTGACACATGCAAGTATACAATAACAGAAAAATCGCATGATTCAGATGACTAGGTTGGCTCATGTCATCGGTATATAGCAAAACGGGCAATTATGCAATGTTGATTCAGGTGGCCCACCTTGGGCAGCATGTCACAACATAGATAATAGCCCATGCAAATTAAATGCCACGCTGCCAAATTAAAAAAACCACCACAATACACACAATACGCAGTTAGTATGTATTCAGCTATTTGATATACATATTCCAGGTTATTCACGCCCAAGTGCTGTTAATTTTGTTAATCTAATTGAATCTAATTCAAGGTATTGTTTAATAATTACAACCCTGGACGCACGTTTGGCATGCGACTGTTTGATTTGATTAGCGTACGTACGTATATACCTGCAGGTAGTGAAGAGACAGCAGCCTTCGTCTGCCATCTTTTTCGCCAGCTCAGTCTGATGGTTGTTCATGAGTGCTTCATTTACCACGACAATGAGAGGCTTTTTTAGCGATAGAGCTTCAGTTATACATCCAGCACCTTAGGGGGGGGTGAGTGAGTGGGGGGCGGGATAGAGATAGAGAGACATATAAATCACTCAGTACGGTAGCACTTAGTATATAGGGATTGACATGGTACCTAGCATCATAGATGTATGGGGCTATGATAGGGAGTTTTGTTCATCTTTTTCTTAATTCTTTACTTTACTTATAGAGTGAGGAAAGCAATAAGAAATAAGAGAAGAGAGAGTGGGAAGAAAGTGGGGAGATGGTGTACGTATATAACGCGAGAGAATAGAAAGTACAACACGTAAGCAAGAGAAAGAAGAGGATTATGACGACGAGAAAACGAAAAGAAGAAGGAAAGGGGGAGATAGACGGAAAAAAGAGAAAGAGACAAAAAGAGAGGAGGGAAGGGAGAAGGGGAGAAGGGAGGGAGAGGGAGAATGGAGGGAAGGGGAGAAGGGAGGGGGAGAAGGGAATAAGGGAGGGGCTGTGGAGTGTGACATACTCCGTGAGTTGGCCACATGTTTCCCATCAAAACATGTTCTCGTTTCCTGGAGACACCATATTTGGAAAGGGGCGACCCAGGTGTCTAATTATTCGGAACGCAAACAATAAACGAACAAATTTCACTAACACAAGTTTTGGGGTAGGCATGCCCAGACACATGCGTGGCGGTTCAGGATTTACGCTAGTTCATGCTCACAGAGCACGTCTGTTGGTGTTGCCAGACACCGAGTCAGTTTTGGAGTGCTGAATCCTCGAACTGCGCGCAAACAGTGAATTCATACATTATCATTACACTCTGTGCATGGATGCAGTAGGATGTGTGTACAATGCCTTGTCAATAAGTGGGATATGTAAAGTAGGTAGTATGGAATGCCTCTGAACACCCCTGAAATGAGCCTCTCTCTAGGAAACGCCTTCTTTCGCCATGGGCATATCCTAAATAAGTGTATAACGTATTAACGCCTATTATTATAGCCTATTATTATAGCCATATATAAATTCTTATGGACTTATGGAGGCTCTGGGCATATATATATATAGGCCCGTGGCTTGCTAAGGGTTAACCCCTGAAATAAGGACACCTCACTACAGATGTATGGTTTATAGTGTTTCCACTTTAGTTACACCATTTCACTTTGTCGAGCGGTGTGTAAATAAGTCCGTCTGTGTAACTGAATCCCAGCCGGTTTAACTTGATTAGTCCTGCGTACTTTAACCCTCGAACTATCCATTTGTAACTCTTCTTTGTGTACATTATTTAACCCTTTCCTGACTACCAACCGTCTTCCTTGCCCGGGATGACTCAGCACCTGTCGTCCTAATCCGAAGTACATGACTGACACCTTTGTGCGATCAAAACTGTGTTCTAGATAAAATGCTGACTCACTCGTGGCTTCGGGGCACAATATGTAATATAACCTGAACGTTAATAGACGGCAATAACAGGAAGAGAGCTCATAGCAACGGGTGTGTGCGGAGCCTCTAAATGAGATATTAACCATCACAATTGGTCGATATCCTTCCTGAGTTACTTATGTATTGACAAGGCTTTATACACGCATCCTACTTTAACATATCCTACTTATTGACAAGGCTTATAAACGGATCATTTAACATACTACTATGACAAGGCTTTACACGATCTACTTTAACACATATCCTACTTATTGACAAGGCTTATACACGCACCTATTTTAAATATCCTACTTATTGCAAGCTTTAACACGCATCCTATTTAACATATCCACTTATGACAAGGCTTTAAACATCCTGTTTAAAATCCTACTATGACAAGGCTTTATACACACATCCTACTATTGACAATTCGTGCAATCAGTGATGAATATAATAAATTATGCAACTTCGATTTACCACAGTGCAGCAGACGTTGTGTAGACCTGAGACATGTACAACAAGGGTGGATATTTACTAAGGTCAGGCTTGATATACTAGATAACTGCCCACCTATCTCAGAGCCTTACTCTGCACAGGCCAAATATTTCCGCTCCGAACAGCGTACGTGGCGATATCCACATGCAGTACGATAACATATGTCGTGCTAATATGAAAGTATACTGTCCCTGACAAACAATAGAAACCAGCTGTGCCAATGAGTAGCTGCTGAGACGCCATGTTTACTTCCTGGATATTTCGTAGGCACTAAACAGCTTTTACGGCTCGCGTGTGTACGTTTGACACTAGACTGCCGTAGTGTGATATAGACTGGTACCGCGCCAATTACCACTGGTGGAATGTGCACATGTGTGTGTGTGTGTTGGGTCTGGTCTAGGGGCTACGGGGGGCAGGTGATCTGAGTGGGAAGGCCGTCAAACGCACTTTGGGTGAATTCGGCCTGCCAATGGAGCGCGCAGTGTGGAGCGAGGAAAGTCGTCTGCTCGCAGTCGCTAAGCGGGCCGCTACCTGACGCAAAGCGATTACCTACGAAAACAGCACAAATTTTCAGAGCTCCGATGGTACACATTGTAGCGAGTGTGATGTGTTCCAGTTCAACCCTCTGAACGGAGGACACTCGCTAAACTGATGCCTCCCAATCGAAGAACAGTTCTTGCACGCAACTCTTAAAGGGACTCCATACACCTATGTAGTAAGTATACACCATGTACAGTTTTTAAAATTCTGGTGCCAAGAAGGGAAAGGTGGTAGTAAGTCTATGTGCCGATACCATCACTACACAGCTATACTGTGAATCCACCATGTCCATATGGAATGATGCACAAAAAACATAACATGCCACGCCCAGACTGCTACCACACCCACTACATCCACAGTCGCTTGCGTGAGCCACTTAGGACACAGTACAACAACACACACAGTGCACAGTCATCAACCGTGGTAATTGCCGGACTCTCTATATCCACTCGGCATATGTTATAACGTACACACTGCTGAGCTTTTAAAAGCGGTGTATTTCCACGGACATATTCCGCGGAAGCGCAATGGGATGGGGACTTAACGAGTAAACCACACAGTAACAATAATCATTCAAGTAAAGAGTAGAACCAATTAATAGTTCTACATATGTCTGCATCTACAGGGCAAACTTGTGTGTGCAGTGAGAACACAAGTTTTAGCGTGTGTATGGGTATGATGGGCAGCTAACAGATTATACCCTTACATACCAGATATACATACATCACTTGTTGGATCTCACTGCGCAACGACATGTATGAGCATAGGTAATGGGGACTGTATCAGACTATACATCCTAAATGTTGCAACAGGGTAATAAATTCGTTTTTTGCTAGGGAGGTCCAAACAAATCTGGTGCATTACCCAGACAGGAAGCATGTGCCAATACGAGCTCATGCTGTACTGTCTGTGCACTGCAAACACTAATATACACCAACATCACATACATTGACATGAAGTTGCTTCTCAACAACCTCCAATATCTACACTCAAATAAACAAACATTACACGGGGGAAAGCGAAATGTGGGGTTAATCAATTATAACCCTACCATGTAACTTAAAAACGATCGAGTACAGGTAATGCGTTATAACATTATGACAAGGA